AACAAATTTCGTAAACAGAAACAAGTTTATATGTTCTAAAGTTTGTAAATTAAAAGCACACTTTGAATCAGAAAGCAATATTTTTCTTACATTCTGGCAAGTAAGAGTTTTTAAATTGTAAGTTATACAATTATAGCATGTTAAATGCTTATCGTCTGAATGATAATGCTGATGAATGTAAAATTCTTTATTATAAATCAGGAACATGTGAACAAAGTAGTAATTTGACATCAAAATACTAAATCACTTTGTATCACTGCACTAATTGTCAATAAGAAACAAAAGTAAAAACTGGTTTAGTTTACTGGCCAAAGTGTTTTTTTAGACACTATACCATAACTCCAAAATATTAGGCTTTTGTGAAATAAAAACATTTCTGAGGCATAAATGACCTTTATGAAAATTTATAGATATTATGCGTAAGGTATGTTTTAGAATGCATTAAAATAGAGTGATTTAAGAATCCCTAAAGAAAGCCCAACTCGGCAAAATAGAAAATGTTGCAGGCTCGGTTTGATTGAGCCTGTTCATGGACGGTACTGTCAAGTGCAAACTACCGTCCACGCCCCCTAGCGCCGGCTTAAGCAGAATTCAACATTTAACATGAACTGGTAAAATTTAGAATTTTGAAACATCCGCAGATGTGAAGTTCCATAACAAATACATTTCTTTAAAGTAAAAGCATTTTACACCAAAGTAGGAAGAAAAATATTCGTATATGTATCTTAAGTTTATTTTGTAATCTTAACGTATATTTATATATATTACGTTATGTCTGTAATGTTTCATGCACAACAATTTCTAAATATGACAATTTTCAAATTTAGGTTATGCCTTCTTTTTCTTTTCAGGTCGTATTTGTTTAAACAGTCATATAGTACATGATTGAAACGGCGAATTGAATAATGATAGCAGTATCATAGCAAAAAAGATAAGTGACAATGACATGCAGATAAATCAAACTGAATTGATGTTTTTAATGTTACAATTACTCAGAATAAAGTAATTACTTGCATATAATTACATTGTTCTGTTTCGTTCATGTTCATAACATAATCAGATGTTTCTTTTAGTATAGTTCAAGTTTTGGTTAAAAATTGTAGTAAGATCCATATGGTCTATGAAAAAGAGTGGTGTCGAAGACTATGTATCAAGGAATAAATAGCCGAGAATATTTCTGTTAGTCTTTTGAAGATAAAACATACTGTTTTGTGTGACATATTAATACATAATGTTCTAAGTCACAATGAACACTTTGATTTTAACAAATGTTGAAAAAAAGTTAAAAGGACTTTTCTATCTCCAAAAGTTTTCTTAGAATTTCTTACGCTATTTAAATTGACGTTATACTATCATTTAAACGTAAATAAACAAATTTTATATGACAAATACTTCATAATACATCATCATACATGCGATTGTTGTGTTATATACCTCGAATAATTTTAAGCATCTTATTTCTTCTAAAGTCAGTATCATTTATTTATAACACACAATCCCTATTTTATAGCTTCGTTGGAACTGGAAATATCTCTTTAAATCTACCTTGAATACATAAACGTAAGATGTTGTTGTGCTGTTGCGTTTAATTTTGTTCGTATTTTTGTAAAACTAGACATCAGTGATCTTTCTATTATATCTCTGGAGGTATAGCTAGTTTCAAACTGTCTGAGAGAATAATTAAATGCATTAATTTTGTTTATTTCTTATGTTTGCTTTCACAAGGGGCAATGAAGTGCAGTGCACGTGCATTTATTTACCTTGTGGCATATTTTATATAAAGTTAAGATACCTTTGCAATTCGTATGGTGCATTGCAGAATGTGAGTATGTCCCTAAACAGAATTAAACTTTTTTATTTTACTTTTGCTTTCTGAACAAGCGATATATTTAATCGCAGGAACACCAAGGACTGTATTTTCATACGACATAGTGTTGATAAAGTAGTTTTAATTATTCAAATTAGATTTTGCTGTTTTGACATAATGAAAACAGTCATATGGGTATTTTTTCAAATACATTTATCTTGTGATGGAAAGATGAGAGTGGTCGGCGATCTATACAAACGAATGCGCTTTACAAAAATAGTAATTACTTAGTAAAGATATTAAAGAAATATATTCATTTGTTTTTCCTTGACCATTTTAAACTAACCATAAAAAAATTCGAGAATATAGCTCTATATTCAATCAAACTAAAATAAATTATGTATAACTATGAATAGCACAAATTGCAATGAATGTGCAAAATCCTTATCATTATTGCATCAATCAATACAATAACAGTTTTAATCGAAGAATTAATGGATGAGAACAATACTATTTCTAGCCTTTGTATGAATTATTGAGAGGCTAGCAAACATTATGAGAGGGCGTTTGCCTAGGGAATATGTATTCTGCTTTATTTGGAATAAGATTCAAAATGTAAACAACTTTTTGACAATGACAATGGCAGTTTCAAAACATGTAAGCGGCGTGTTTTATTCTATTTAATTATATTTGCAATATCTTTCTTTTCTCTGAAGAGAAGAAATCAGAAACTTTAACAGAATTATGAGAATTCATTCCCAAAAGGACGTGTCCGGAAACTGTTCCAGTTTTATTTGCATTATGTAAAATGTTTACCATAGAACAATGTTACTCATTTTTTCCATTATATAAATTAATCTCACTCAATGGGAACTGAATTACAGTAAACGCTGATAAGGGTAAATTTCTTATTGAGCGCTTATTCAGTCAACAGTTAGTTACAATAAAAGATTGAAACCTTTCTTTCACTGGTGAAATTAAATGCCGTTTTCATTTAGCTGACAATTTCACAGTTTTACTTTCCTATCAAGATAACGCAAACAACAGTTTTCTGATGAGAGCGATAATTTGTACAGTCAACATAGACGGGCAAAGTATATGTTTGTAAATTCTTGCATAAGTGATAATTCCTTGTTAATTATAAAATATGATAAACAAGATCAACAAAGAAAGGCGGCGTTCAATGAACGCAAGTTCTCGTATGCATCAGAAGCATTTATATACGCCTCTGTTTTTCACTTTTATATTTGGCATTTTGCACATTCTGAATCTGTCATCCGTTTGGTGTTCAATCAAGAGGTTTTAGTAATGTCGCGTAAACAAGTTGAAATTGATATTCATCTTAACAATCCTTCTCTTTATAAGAGTATAGATCTTTCATTAACTAAATGCAGTTTAATGAAACAAATTCCAACTGAATTTCCTATTGGATTATATTGATATTTATTATATTTAATCCAATGCTAATATGGTTAAAATGATTAGAGAATGTGACACGTTTTTTATTGCGATAATCCTTTCATGTTTTTATTATGCATTTTTTTAACTCGACATTTATTATACATGTGCTTTGTATGAACATTATATAAAGCAATTTATGTCATCATCATCATCATAATAATTAAATGAGAGTCAAGGGCGTATATAAGGTATATAAGGTACTTCCAGATATCCAGGTACTTTAGAGGTTAATACTTGGTTGCTGCTCGCCATTATGCGATAATTGCCCGAAGATGTGAATAATGGCCGGAGGGCCGCAGGCCCGAAGGACATTATGAACTCGAGGGCCATTATCGTATAATGGCGAGCAGCAACCAAGTATTAACGTCTTAAATACCTATGTCCGAAACACGGCGATAAGACATCGTCGCTAATCTTGGTTGTCGCCCTTTCTAAGAACCGGACAGTTGTCGATGTAAACAAATATCTCTCATTTAACACTCTGATTAAGAGATCTAACACAAAATATATATGAGAAAATTTTGTTTTATTGTTGTTTTTATCGATAGTTTTTGTGAGAACAACATTTAGATCTAGTGCCAGTTTATTATGAACTTTTGTGCTTTCAAGACTGATGTTTAGGTTCTTATGCCACCGATCCGATCTTTTTTCTACATTCAATCTGAAAATACTTTTGGAATTTCTGAGGGTCATGTTTTGTCTTGAGTTTAAAATCTTCAATGTTAAGCTTTGCTGATTGCGATTAATTATTACATTTTATATATTTTATATTTTGTATGCAAGTGACTACAGTTCATCCAACCAGCGGCCCTCGAGTTGATTACGTCATTTTTCACGTTCGCTCATTCACTCGCCTATTAAACAATTTGACATGATGTTTTTCTACAATATCTTCAAATAATGATACTTTCTATATAAAGGAAAGAATGACTAGATGGACTTTTCTTAGATAATTGTTTTGTGTTTCCCGAGTAAGACTTTCAAATGTGCATCATTTTAGTTTCGGCTATAGTCTTCTGCTTAATATAACTAGGACACAAAAATAATGTTTTCTTTGATAAACTCCATTTTTTATAGGAATGACAGAATTTTCAAATTCTTAAATGTTTTGATCAGCTTTGCCGGTACAAGTGAGCGTGAACTTTGAATGTATTATTCACTACTATCTATGAACAGTTTCAATCAAATTCAATATGTTCGATCCTTGAATATCGTTCAGCAGGACATTATTGTTGACTTATGGGCTTATTAGATTCTTTTTTATACTTTTTTTCCGGCTGGCTGGTACCAATACCTCTTTAAATTTACCTTTGAATGTCTTGTCTGTTAATGATGTATTAGAAAAACATATTAAGCATATTTTATTTAGTTAAATTGAATCAATAAATGTTTGTATCTATTTATTTATATGATGTTTTGAATTCCGTAAATACATTAGTATTTGTGTCTGTTCTAAATATAGTAGCAAGCTATAACAGCCAATCCCATGATGTTGTACGTTGCCATTTTATAAAACTTATAAAGTACGTGATGATAATGATATAATAATATCAGTTGAGTTTTTGTAAAATATTAATTATATTTGCTCCATGATAAACTACAATCTAATAATTATTCAAACATGATTTTTATATTGACATATTAAAACAGGTTATTTAGGTGAGTTATATATACATACTCAAATAGGATGTTTATAACTACGTATTTAACTACGTATCTAAACAATATGCATATTTGTTTTATTTATTAAGATATACTTAAGCGTGTAATTGTTGTTGAAATTAAGCATGAATTATCGAATCTGTGTTGAATAAAAACAATACACGATATGTACAAATAGAATTTCAAATTGGATTACTGATAAAAATGGGACGGGCTGTTGCTGCAGCTTGAAAATGTATAAAAACTAATGTTCAGTACTGATGAACTATATATATGGTGTTGCTTAAATATCGGAAGCAGTAACCTCAATACAAGAAACATTCCTATGCAACCAGGCACATACTGTATTAGCAATGTTTGCAAAGCAATGATGTTGTTTTTGAAATATATTAGACATGTTTCGTTGCATAAAGCATGGCATGTTCAATGTTTTATTTTTTAGCAATAAACTATTAATCAAGGCTGTACTCATTTTCGTGTCTTCATTTATTTGATCTTCTTCTTCCAACGTGTAGCATCTCGAGTACTGACGAAATGCAAGCACCTAGACAAGTTGACGTCATTTGTGAGATCCTCTTTTCATACGATTATACAGTATGTTGGTCTTTTTGTCCCTAAGTGTCGCAAGTGAACAAGAACAGTTTGCGATTGAATAACATGAATATGAGAGGATTGCAGGCACTGTTGAGTGGGTATAGACAGTTGAATAAAAGAGTTAATTTCTCTCCCACCGTACCTGGGTGAAATATGTGCATCAACATTACTATAAAATAAGGTGTCCAGCATAAGAAAAAGGCTGAAAGATAAAAAAAATTAAAAAAATAGAAGTTTACATTACTCAGGCATCTTGCTTCATGTAGATTATTTATTATCTGTTTTGCTTTAATCTTATTTATGCTAGTCAGTTAAATGATCTTTATCATTTAACTATAAAAATAAACTACGATTTTTTTTAAAATGACAATGAGATTAATTTTTCCACTAAAAATGAACAAAAGTCATTTAATACCATTAGTATAAACATATTTTATTTAGTAAATTTACAAGCAAGTATCATTTTACATCACAATATTAATGTGTTTCCCTTTTGAATATTCAAAAATGGTAATTAACTTTTACATAAAGTAAATACAGCTTGTACGTGTATATAATACACTGTAATAGGTATTGGTGTAAATTTTAAAGAAATTAAATGCAGTTAGCTAAAATTTTAATTTTGATCAAAAATTAAAAATTGTGACAGTTTCTGATAAAAAAAACATGCAGTGTTTAATGAAGTTGACGCTTAGTTAATTTTGTAATACAGTATATAACATACCCAAACAAACGACCAATGTCATTTTGATGCTCTTTATCTTAGCCTTCGGAAGTCGGTCTGTAATGATATATGATATTAAGATATCAATAATGTGTCGAGATGTACTAATTGTAACATATCTTGACATAAAGTGAACTATGGCATGTTTAACGTTGCAAAATTCAATAAATCTATTTTTAGTCCATATCCAATATTTATATTGTATAACTTTAATTTTATATTCTATACCATAATATTTATTCAATCCTACTGAATATTTGTTCATCATAAAAAAGTATGTGTGTGCGATAATTTTCTATAAATATGTTCTATATATGAAAATATATAGTGTATAATTGAAAATATTTATTGTAGTAATACTGAAAAATATTTATTCGATAATTTGAGTTATGAGATAGAACACTTAGCATATTAAGTTCCACCTGTAAATTAAGCACAAAATTCTGATAAAGCGTTATCATCCTGATTAAACTACACTAAAGTGTAGTGGAAATTACCAGTGTCCCTCTGAATAGTACTTGTAAAAAGTGTATATGCTTAATCCTCCTTATAAATATATATGTATGCCTAAAAATGGAAAATGTCTTCAGGACATACGAGGGATGATAAAAAAATAAACCGGTTTCGGGCTGTCAATTGAAGAATTTTCAAATTATCATTTATCGTTACATATCACAATTAATCTGTAAACAGATGCTGTATCTAATATGATTACGCAAATGGCTTGTACTTAACAGCGAATTAAAAAAACCATGGCAACGCACACCCGGTGCAGTGCATAAATTTGAGCTGACAATAGGCGCTTCATGAAGCGTATATTTTACAATTTGATTTCAAAATACGCTGAAACGTCATGAGCCGTATTTGACGTTGTCAGAAAAAATCACTTCATTTAAACCACATTAATGGTTGCAATCACAATTCATATGTCACTTGTAAAAGAAAATCTCGCGTTACAATTATGCCGTCGGAACGTCACGAAATTCGATCAATAAGAAATTGTGTCAATATTAATTCGAGAAACTGATTATAACCTTGAAAAGGGTAATGGAAAAAGGGAAAAGGTTAAGGTAGCCACAGCATAGTATTTGATTGACATAAGTGATTAACAAAGGGTGATTGAGAAATAGGAAAAAGAAAAATAAGGGAGAGACAGAAAGAAAAATTTTCAAGGACGTTGGTGACTTCAATTGCCAAGAGAGACGTTGAAAAGTGGTAGGCGATTGACTGCGAACATTATAAACGATGTGTTCGACAGTAGCTGAGGGACTGTGTAATCAAATCTAACTTGAGAACTATAAATGCATTTATCACAATGGTCATAGCTTTCGCAGAAGTGGTGGGTTCATCGCAACAGCGATGGATATTTCATCGTAGAAGCGGTGGATAAAATATGGACGTTTGCTTCTAAGTATATGAATGAAATTTACTTTATGTTTAAATGCTTAACCGGAAACACCTAGTGAGACTGGAGCACACATATGTACGTTTCCAACTTATTACACGCACAGCTAGCAATTCATTGCCATTTGTGCTACAGTAGGGTGAACGTTTCGGTTGTCTAAAATAGCGTTTTTCGTTTATCGTGCGTGCGTATATCGTTCAACGTGCGTTTGATAAAACGCTTTCTCAAGCGTGCATCGTTTACAAGCGTTTAACGTAAATCGTTTTTCGTGTATCGTTTTTCGTTTACCGTGCGTTTGAAATTCCCAGAAAGGTTTAGCGTGCGTCTGAGTTTGTCTAAACGTTTAAGTACCAAGTTTTGCGTCTGTTACTATTGAGAAGTTATAAATATCTTAAATAGAGCTAAAGTTGTTAAAACATTATATGATTACGATATTTTACTAAATGTTTAGAAACGTTTTTATTTTGCGTGCTTTTAAGCGTGCGTATATCATTTAGCGTATATCGTTTAGCGTATATCGTTTTGCGTGCGTCTGCGTATTTCGTTTGGTAAAGCTTGCATGTAACCTTCGTTCGTATAGCGTGTAACGTGTGTGCGTATTTTCGAGAGCGTGCATTTTTCGTGTAAACTGAAACGTTCACCCTACTTTAACACTTATGTACAGGTTGACGAGGGGACGCCACTTTTGCCTATTTTAGGTTAAAACACGTACAAATGTGTGCAAAAAGGCCCCTAAATGGACTAGCATTACATCATATGTATAATACTTGCACAAAACAACCATATGTTGGACTTTCTGAAAATTGTTACATTGTATTGCCTTTCTATAAAATGATTGACAAAAATTGATTACAACGCAGGCGGCGGTGGATTCGATTGTAACGCAGTGCTTTGGTCCCTATACTATTAATGTCTATTGTGAGGATTAACTTGACATAGCGAATTTTTTTTCAATTCAGAACAAAACTTTTCGTACGCTTTCTTTTAGTGTTTAAAACAATATGATTATAAATAATACGAATTTTACACTAGCTGCCGTACAGACCGGATTGTCTAGCTCGAGGTTAACTGTTTACTGCGGTTACGATCGAGGCTTTGTCGAGTTGCCACTTAACAGTTACCCGAGAGCATGATATTCCCGGCTGTACCGACAGCCGGTGTTTGATTCTTTTGTCTTGCATATAACATACCAATTATTTTCAGAACAAAAATCACAAAAAAACTGAAAGTATGATACCGACTTGTACAGATTTATATATACCTTGTAGGCAATTGATCAGCCGCAATTAACAATATATGAAACACGTATTGGCCTACTTAGTACTAAAGAACTTCTCCGTTAAAAACAATACGCTTGCGACGTCGTTAACGCCAAATTTTAAAATTACACCGTGCGCCGGGTCATTTACATGCGCTTGCATTAACGGCATAAAATTTTCATTTGTTAATGTTTCTTGTTGGTATTTTTAGTTTCATATAGGGGTATATTCCGATTTATGTTCCGTGTATTTTTATGTAATTGCATCATATCCCCGCATAGGTTTATATCGTGGATAAAATATTAGGCATATGAAAAACCATTATTATACGATTGTATGTCCTGAAGACTTTTTCCATTTTTAGACATACATATACATTTATAAGAGATTTAAGCATATGCACTATTTACAAGTGACATTCACAGGGAGGCTGGTCATTTTCACTTTACTATAGACTAGTTTAATCAGGATCAGAAATTCGTGCTTAATTTATAGGCGGGGCTTAGTATACTAAGTTTTCTGTCCCATGATTTGATTCAAATTATCGAATAAATATTTTCAAGTAGATCTATACAATAAATATTTTTAATTATACAATATATATTTTCAAATATAGAACATACATATAGAAAATTATAGCACACAAATATTTTTATGATTAACAAATATTCAACAGGTTTGAATAAATATTATAGTAAAGAATATAAAATTTAGAGTTATGCAATATAAATATTGGATATAGAACAAAAACTTAATTTATTGAATATTGCAACGATTCACTTGCCATAGTGAACAGCTAAATAAAAAAAATGTTTATTAAGTAGAGGTCTATTCCGTGAAATGTTGTAAATTCCTAAGTGTTATTGATAAAAATGTAACTAAATTCGAACTGAAAATGTAGTAATATTATTTTCTATTCTTATACTAATAGTACTTATTAGTATTAGACATAACAACAAACCACGAAATAATAACATATTTAAGTTGCAAGTGTGAAATACATGATCCGTTATAAAATATCTTTACGTAAGTGTATCTGTTATAATAATTCAAAGTTAATTGCCCTATAAATGTCAAGTACACAATTCTTAACATATTGGAAAACAAATGATACTTTGTCAGTCATACCTCTGCTTGCATCGGTGTTGATCTCTGATAATTTCACCCTTGAACGCCATTTCATCCAGACTATGATACATATACCCACATAACATACTGTTATACCGATTGTTGGTAACACATAGACTATTACTGCAACTGTTAAACTATACGGCTTTAAAATAAAATCAAGTGAAAAGCATGTGTAAGTGATTTGTTTTCTGCAAAAAAAAACCTTTGACAAGAATCGACAAACATCGCAATAATATTTTATTGTTACTATTCAGACTGATATATCCCCTACGCTTGTTTTTTTTATTTAAAATGTGTAGAATGTTACCTATATCATCCACAATGATACCAATACATTTGTTAAATCTTGTGAAATACCAATCAGATATGTGCACATTCATATTCGTTTGTCATTCATATTATATTTGATCTGATATATCTTTTTAAAAAAATCTATCTAACGCTTATTTTCAATATTGCCAACCGCTGTATTACCTTCCACCAATGATCTGGAAATTTAATTTTACAGCCACCTTTTTGTTCATAAATATCAGCACCATTTGGATTTGCATTTACTCCCTGACTGTAAATTATGAAAAAACTTGAGGCCACTATACTGATAAGCCATGCCCCTCCGACCAAGCACTTGTTCATATACTTATGAATACCTGCAAAGATAGATATATAATATAATAATATTCTCCAATTTACATTCAATTCGTTTGATAATCATTCGTCTTGAAATGAATGACTAATTTTACTACAAAGAGTATAGATCTATTATTATTAGAATGTCTGTTTTGTATAAAATTTATCAAATTGAATCGAATCGAATGACTGAGTGTATAATTTCCAAATAAATAAATAAATAAATAAATAATGAATATGCGTGAAGCATGTACGAAAACATAACAGAAAAAGCTCAATGTATTTTCCGAAACATTTTGGTCTGTTTTCATAATAAAAGGGTTTCATCGGTGGGATGAGAATTTCTCTTAATAAATGACGTTATAGTTTTTAATTTAGTAATGAAATACAGCAACAACATACCTATTCTAAGAACATTCAATGGATACTTGATTGCCAGAAATCTGTCTACACTCATGCTGATCAGAAGATTATTAGATGCAATCACAGTCGTTGTTGACATAAAACGATTAAGTCTACACATAATGTCACCACCATACCATTCTTTATGCATTGCACTAGTTATACCAAGTACAAGAACACTACATACACCCACGAGAAAATCTGAAATTTAAATTATAACCAACGATTCAGTTATTGTACAAACTAAGCAGACGTAAGACAAGAGTAATTGTAAGCGGGTAACAATGTGTTAATTTAACTGTACATTCATCCATTCGTTACCCAAAGTTTTACTTTGGATTAAACTAATCGTTCACCTAACGTTAAAATTATACTTTTGTTTGCAGGTTATCTAAGTCACAATATTCAGCTTCATTATCCTTAATATATTGCTAAGGATATGTATTTTAGATACAGCTTGATGTATCAATATTTGGATTTGAATGAACATATTTATATGAAGAACTAGATACTTATGAGATTAACTAAATTTAAATTTAAAGAAACACACTTTTAATAATAATCCACGGTACACAAAAATGTTTTTCTCACCTGCTATTGCTAAATTCAGTACAAAATAGAAGAGACGACTCTTCTCATGTTTTCTGAACACGAGGGTGTAAATTACAAGTCCATTCAGGCAAACTATGGTAATGAACAACAGTAAGGAAATGGCTGCAGCAGCTTCTTCGTATGGCTGAAATATTGAAATAATCATTCACATATCTTACAGCAATTCTATTATACAGGAGATCTGCGCTAGTTTGGCGCAATGGTTTTATAAATCTCAAATGTGCGTGAATAATTGCGGAACGTTATTACGTCAGAATAATTTATTACTCCAAGATGCAACGAACAAACTGGAAAATAATACCAAATAAAATTTATACAGCAATATTTTTTTCCAATAAAGAAAGTAAAAAGGAGAGCGGTCGATCTACGAAACAATATCTGCTACTTTTGCTGTACATATAATACACACGTGAATAACGTTGCATTAAAATCTCTTTAGCAATGACAACTCGTTAAAAAAATGAATCTGATTTTATGAAAGTTGGAAACAGAATGATGCACATAATGCATTACATAAATAATAATAGTAATAAAAATAATTATAATAATAATACTAAACAATTTATATTCCTGTTAACGGTAAGTTCAGCAAAATATATACTTTAATTGACAGCGATATGAATTAAATAAAGATATGTTTATTATGTTCAACTTTGGGTAAAATTCTTCTAGTATTAATTCATTGAAATCTAATAAATTCGTCCTGAATATGTCTAATATGAATAAGTGAATGTTTGGGAAGTTGCATTCTTTATGACTTGTGACTTGTGTTATGTATATAGGCTTTATTTTAAATGTATCCTAAATAGGTCAGTAGGTAAAGCGCAAAACTTATAATTGCAATGTTGTGGTTTCAATACCTACTCTTGACACTATCGCTTTTAATAATTTTATTTATTCAATGTTTACATAATTGTTCATGTTCATTCATCTTCTTTCAAAAAAGTTCTGTTCATGTTCATTCTAAAATATTCGTTCTCTTAGTAGTTTGGAATTCTAAATTGTTCATTAAGGTAAATTGCTCGTCCGGGATAGAATTTTTGTGTATGTCATTTCATTATTCATTAAACAAATGATTGCTTTAAAAAAACTGTCTGTAAAACACAGCAACAAATCAAAACGTATTTTGATTTTAACAGTTTGTTAAATGTTTGTACTTCAAGGTGTTTGCTAATAGTAATTTTGTGTAACACTTGCCAAAATTATGTTGGTTTCTTCTTATACAAACTGCCAGTTTTTAAATGACACTATGTCAACATACTGTGATTACCTGTAGTGTGTAGAGGTAAGAATGTTACATATTTTATCAGTGTGTATTCAAAAGATGTTCATTTTATATTTGAAAATAGATTGTACGGTAATTGTCAGGGGTTTTCTTTACAAATATCAAATTTAAGCATTATATATCTTCATTTTGTACATATAACTCTTAACTATAAAAATTAAGTAATATGCACTTGATAAAAATACCAAGAATTTATTTACTAAACAGCAAACTCAGTCATGGTATTTTACTGAATTCTAAAATCATGATGATACTTCATATACATATACACGAAGTAACAATTTCTAAGAATTTATTTAACAACAATGCAATCGTCACATTACTTATAAACATTTACTTATTATGATTTGATAAATATTATGATAGAAACATTATATACACTTGGTACAATTGCTACGAACTTAAAAATCAAACTGCCTTAATCATTCAAAGTGATCAAAAGGATGATAATATTTCTATGCAAAAAAGATAGAAGAATGTAAGAGAAGAATGAATTCCTTAATTCGCAATGTGCAGCTACATAGAGCCATTAAAGCAGGTATTTTTCTGTTCAAATGTGCTTTTTGTATATTTAATGTATTAAATCTAAAACTAGACCTGAAGATCTTGTATATCTATCTCTTTTTAATGATTTATACGACGACTTTCAGGACACTTTGTAGACGAGGTTATACAATAATGATCAGCAGTCATATCAACATGATAATTTAATATTTTGCTAAAGTATTTATTTGCTATTGTTTTTTGTCTTAATTAAAAAGACACGAGAACAGTAATATTTGCAAAACGCCATTTACCATGGCAATATGATAAACGCGGTTCAGCAAAAGCACTTTGATTTCATTGCAATATCTTCCCGAATAAAAAGTTGTTAAGAATTGTAGTTTTTGCACGTACTCTGTTGTAAATATGACTTAATGAAAGGAAACCATTGGATGATATTTAATAAACTCATGAAGTCAACTCAACAATTTGTTAACGACGGTTATATACATCAAATTTCGACAAAGCAACGTAATGTTATTAAACTTCATTACAACGCTAATATCACATCGACTGACCAAAACTTTTTTCAAGTCAACTTCATGTTAACAAAGCTACAGAAAATATAGATAGTTTAGGAGGCACGATGTAAACTTCGCTTACAATTTAGGATCATAAGCAGTGTCGTTAAGTTACACCTGGGAATATGAAAAGACATGAAACATATATCAATCTCACAAGTTTTATAATTTTATGTCGCACAAGTGACAACTTGCGCGACGTTCAGTAATGTCTAGAGCCGTAATGTTTTCTTTATTTCTTAAACTACTGATCCAATTAATTTGATATACTTCAAGCTGGAAATATCAGCGTTCTAAATGCAAAGTGAAGCACGGTGTTGGATTTATATCTGCAATTGGTTGTTTTTGTTGGTTTCAAAGTCATACCAGTACGACTTTTGAATATAATAAGGGTCAAATGATGAATGAAGACCTCAGATGCCCCTGTCGTGCATTTGTCCGGGCATCTGAGTATAACTACTTAGTAGTATTTTCGTGACCTTTTTAATTATCCTCCTAATTTGAAATTATCTAAAGTCCATGACAGGATCAAACGCACTCTCGAACGTGAAATAATAGCTATGTTAACATCTTCTCAATTACATGATTAATTAGCTTTATCTGTACATTTGCTGTTAGAACTTATAAAATAAGCACACATTTTGGCAAAATACTTTTTTATTATATGTTTCATCTCTTTGTGATTTACTGGCAAGATGGCATTTAAATGAACATGTTCAAAGTCTGCTCATTTTTTATTGCTCGTCATTTTCGGTTATATTGCTGGTAAGACTTGAAAATATCGTTCTTAAATCGAATTTCACAGTTGCTATCTTTGAAATTGACCAAGTAACATATGCACCACACAAAGAATCAACATCTAATTGAACTATAGATACTGGTTGAAAAAAGTATTATCATAATTTTTATAATGTTTACCTACATCGAGTCGTGAGTGCATTCAAATTAAATATATTTGTGAGAAGTTTTTTTCACATTCATCAAGATAAGATAAAAAGTATTGCTAATGATGAAATTTGACGTTTTATATATTTAAGTAATCACTAAGTTCCAATTTCTAAAAATATCCACATTAACTATCAATGGATCCCTTTCTAGAATATGTCACGGTACATAACTTGGGTTTTAACAGATAATGTTCTGAATAATGGAAGATCAGCGCCTGTCTTGTATTAATTCTACGTCAATCAAACAGTCGTCTGTTCCAATTTAAGAAAAGGAAAGAGGCTTTAAGGGGCATTATTTTGTGCACAATAATGGTTGGCCTAAACAGTAACATTTTTCTGTCAAAGACACTTTTATTCGGACAGACTTACAAGCTGGGCATTATCGTGTACAAAGTACATGCTTAAAACAAATAAATGGGCGCCTGTTATGAGAATATTGTTTACTTCATCTGAAAAATACTTTCCAGAGACACTTTTGCCTTTTTACTGGCATCTTAACTGCAATATCTGCACTAAACAAAAACATTACATGCACAACGGTTTTGTTTTTGCACTTAACGAAGATTAAATAAATTCTGTCCTTTTGTTAGCTTTTGAGCCAGTATTTTACAGTCAACAGTTCCTTCAAAATAATAAACCCAAGTGTCAACCACCTGTAACTACATTTTACAAATTCCTTTTCATCATATTTTGAAAATATTTTGAAAAGCTGTAAGGGTACTTTAATCTTTTTTTGATTTGATCTTCAGCCAACAATAAGGCACCCCATGTAAGGAATATACCTGTTATGAAAGATATTGTTTCAAATATAATCAAAATAACAAGTGAAATACTAACTTTTCGTGCAATATCGCCAACTGTAAATTTAACATTTTTGTTAAAAAACGTCTCTAATTATTTATATATTGTCGCCACCAGATGTACGCTTACACCTTCCTTGTTTGAGTCTAACCATTTATTATATTTCCTTTTCTATTATGTGAATTTTGTCATAAGACTTATTACATGTTATGTTAATGTCAGACATTGCAGCCAATATCTGTTTCAAAGGGAAATCAAGGTAAGAACAAGCTGTTTATACGGGTTCGTATATTTTCCTTCTTGTCAACACTTTTGCCAACAATTTTAGTATACTCAACGTCTATGTGTGAATTCGAATGGTTAATTGTTCAGTAATTTATAGCTACATTTATTTATACACCCTTCTGTAAGTACGAAACAACTTTCTACGTACATGCCTTTATTTGTTTCCATTTGTATGAGGTTTATGTACAACGGCACACTGTGCATTTTTTTCGCACATCTCTCTTATAAGCTAGTATTAATGGCGAACATGTTTGACAAAAAAAATACTTAAATATTTCTCTGAATACCTTTATAAAATTCTCATAAATTAAAAGTTTGCAATAACATGGAAATTTTGTCGGATATAGAACTTTAAAACATAATTTATTTAATAAATTGCTAATATTAAACCGTTTTGGTGAAAAGCAATTGTTTAAGTATTACAAAAATATTATAGTATACAATTTCAGTCAACAAGCGTGACGGAAATACTCCGAATGATTAAATTATGTTGTTAAAGATATACAAACATACGTTTCAGCATAAGTGTAGCAAGTTGTTACTCAATGTTAAGCTATGTAATAAAAACTCACTGCATCACGTAAATAGTATTATTTTGACTACCCTGGTAGATCATTTATTTTCACTTTGTATGAATATACCATTGATAAATATCAAATATTAATTAATAAATAATTATATTATATATTTGTATTATAATATTATTTTCGTTCTCTTACCTCAGATGAAGACATATCCGTTCGATTTTTACTTTGAACATAATTTGTACCTGCCGTCACATTTACAAGACTATAATTGTCCATGTTAAAGACCTTAACATTAAATATATACTCCTGAGAACATGAGAACACTTTTAAGAACCTTAAACAAGGTTATACATAAATTGTTAATTCCAATTTACTATTTTGTTTCTGTAAACGGATCTTAAATTAATCGAAATAAATATTTCTTAAAAATTCTCAAATACCCAGTCATTATAACTTGCAGGAACTTATAAACTTTGATAATATTCGGCTAAGATAGTAAACGTTATGTATTTATAACACAAGTCACAATAATTCACTATTTCTGTAGGTATAACGCAAGTTACAACAATTCACTATCAAAACAGATTTCATAAAGTGTATGTAGTGTTTTCACTTCAAGTGTTCTAACAGCATGGCTAATAATAGTTTTTGTCCTTGAAAAGGTGAATGTTTTAATATTCAATGAAACTCGGTTATAACGAACTAGTTCGGACCATGATATTTAGTTTGCTATATCCGAATTATCTTATAAACAATATAAGAAAGTAGTATTATCTTATGAACAGCTAATATATAAAGAACATAAATAACATGAACAGCTTACATGTTCGACGATCCGATATAATTTTATATATAATAAAAATATGAAAATATATAAAAATATATATATTTATATATAGATAATTGTTATTTATTCTTATTACCATACGTTTATAAACTAACAAAGTCAGAATTATATATTATATATTTAAGTTATTTTTGTATTTTTATTGTGACGTAAGCACTTTATTACGTACCATAGTGACGAGCTATTTATAACTACTTTTACAACAGTTGGCGAAATCTATCAATAGTTCTACTTTCTGACCAAAAAGTCGCAAAATTTGACATGTCGTCATTAAAAATCATAAACATTTCCAATTTGGAACAGGTAAATATGGTTAAACAAGATTAATAAAATATTAATTGTCATTTATTGACAGCTGATCTATTTATAGTAATAAATGCACTAATCTTTATCTAGGAAAACCAACAATATAACATTACAACAATAATAAACAGTTACTTTTATACATAAATGAGGTAAATATAAATCTTGTCATTTCAATTTTTATAATGGATACAAATTATCTTATTTAACTCTTGGTTATACAAAAAATGCCGAATCTATAAACGATTACTTGCTTATCACACTTGAGCCGTATCGTTGCGTCTCTATCTGCCAACCAAGAGTTTCAATGTGTGAGAGCATGTCACAAATGTGATTTTTTCGTGGTTCGTTGATACATAATACCAACATAATTACTGCTTGTATGACAAACGTTCCATTATGGACCAAATCAATTCAAATGCCTTTCTTAATTCATTTTGTTCATCTTATGTTCTTTTTAAAATCATTAGACCGAATAAGATGTTTTATTGTGTTTCTGTAGTGATCTAAATCTGTTTTGGCTATTTCTATTACGTAATTTGTAATCCACGAATGCAATACCTCCACAAAAGAAACTTTATCTAACTTCTCACTAGCTTTATTAACTCTATAACTTTAAGTAGCTATCGTAGCTACCACGATGTGTTCTGCAATATTCATAGTTTATTTTGATACACCGATGTACATGATACATATATTATATTGATATTCATATTTACATCACATACTTGAGAAGGGAGGTTAAATAAAGGATACTCTAAAAAAGGTAGAAGCAGTGTAATGCAGAAAGGCTGATAGTTTGTCTCACGTTGTAGAGTTTACCATAACGTTTGACTAATTAAAATTAAATTTAAGTCATTTTTAGTAGGAAAATCTAGAAAAAAAATGTCAATTTTTACATATGATATCAAAAGGTTTAAACTGAATTAGTTTATTTATTGTTCAAAAATGTTAAAATGTTAATACTTGCATGCAGTCATTAATTACATTCATTCTAACATGCATTTTAAACTTCTTTTGCAATATTATTGGAGGAGTGGAATCGTTTTAAATTATTCACAATATATTACTAGCAAAATGAGATCCTTATATTTATAATTTATATTTGAATCTTCTCGTTCTTATTGGACCGTTTACATTTTAAAATATTGATTTGTGAATTGTTACTTGAAGAACCATCAATTGTACATACAGTTTATAGTGAACTCGGCTTGCAAAATTGGGGGTTTAAATTAATAAATAATAATATTGAGATATTTTGAAAATTTCTTTAAAAAGCAGGCGTAAGATATTAGCACATTAATAACAAACCAGGTTTTGCTTATATACGAGCAAAAATTGATACGTCCGAGTGTTCGGTATCTAGTCATAATATTTCTTCCGGAATATGTAACAGAACTCTCTGGTTCCCTTGCTTTAGCAATGAGTAACATGTCACACAAATTAACTTATGTTAAATACGGTCGAAAATATGATGCTGTTTACCTTATTACTTGTAATAAATGCAATATGTAATATTTTGGGAAAACTAAGCAAGTAGTTTCAATTCGTATGAATAGTCAAACATTTGATATTTGCAACTTTACAGATCCCTCTCTTCCACAAATGTTGCCTTAAGCTTAAAATTTGAATCATAATAATATCATTGATTATTCATAACTTCCCCATATATATCATTAAAAATAACATTGACAGTCTATAAAAATAAGCTTTCTGGATAAACAAAATAACAAACACAATAACAAGAAGGAATAAGCATACACTGAATGATATATGTTTAACATAATATTGTACGTATATATTTCAAGTACCAGTTCCTTTCCCTATTTACGTTTTTATATACTATATCGCTATAGTTAATATCAGTATTATATAAAAAAGTACTTATCTCTTAAAGTATTTGTATATTTAAGACTCTTAAAAAGACACATATTTTAATGTACTAATGTTATGTAACTATTATAAAATAGAGAAAAAAATCCCTAAAGAAAGCCCAACACGGCAAAACTGTAAAATGTTGCAGGCTCGGTTTGATTGAGCCTGTTCATGGACGGTACTGGAAAGTGCAAGTTACCGTCCACGCCCCCTAGCACCGGCTTAAGCAGAATTCAACATTTAAATAGAAAAATGGTGAAATTTTGAATTTAGAAACATCCGCAGATGCTTTCATACGGCGGTTATCATGGAACCTTCAATTTGGCACAGAAGTGTTATTTAATGAAAAGCGGCGTATGGTCTTCAAGTAATAGAATGCGTGTGCCCTAAACGTAAAAAAAATGGAAGGAACTAGGGGATCTGAGGTTATGAAGCCTGCATATCACAGACAAGACGTCAAAAGACAAATTTAAAAAGCAGGCAACATATCCTAAGGGTGATTATACAGTATTCAAGTAGGAATACTGGAACCACCCAAGTTGAAAAAGGCCAAATACAAGAAACTTTAAATACCATCTAAGATGTATACACAACAGTAATGTTGTGCTGAACGATCTTCAAGGATCGAAAAAATAACTTCATTGATTAAATGTACGGGGAGACTTTTTTACTTTTTTTAAAGCCTTGTCCGCTATTTCTTTGTTATTATATATATCATGATGAAGGCGTTACCTGACACGTTGATGAATAAAAGAAAATAATTAAGTTATATTCATACCATGTTGTTGAATGATCTATCCTAAATATTTTCTTTTCCAATCCATAAACAATATTTTACTTTCATTATGGCCATTATGGTTGATTCTATGTACTCTTTGTTTGTTTGCCTTTTGTTTAACATTATTTTTCGTGTACTGTTAAACGTTTTTGGCATTCATCGGTTCCTCGGCTGCGTCGGTCTTTCCTGCAGGACTAGATCGTGTTGGAGAAAATCTGTTGGGGTGGTGGAGTAAGCTAGGACATGTTTAACCCATTACTTCATGAGCATTTTGTAAAAAAAAACGGCTGTTTTCATTGAAAAGTATCCCGTTACAAGTTCAAATTGCTATAAAATTACAAAAACTGCTTCAATACTAATCAAACTTGTCACAAATGTTGACTGGACCATTGACTTTGTAACAATGTGCTCTGTCTTAAATTTCCTGTTACCATGGCAACAAGGGGACATTTCAAAATTGCCAAAAATCATTATTTTGCGTGTTTGTTTCCATCAAAATTGATTTCAAAGTGCTGCAACTTCTCAAGTTATTGAGATAGAGTCAAAGGCTTTTCAGCGTTTGTTACACGTTACGATATGATCGATCTGGGGTCATTTTTAGCCTCTCACAAGTCCAAAATTTTCTTGGCGATGAGGGGGACTGTCTTCCCCTTTAACCCCCCCCCCCAACAAGAAGGGGGCATATCCCCCTTCCGGCACCCCTTGACAGATCTTTTGGTTAAGGGAGGAAAAGGCCGGAAAAGTGGTCACTTTTTAAACAACATTTCTCAAACAAAAACAAGTGGTGGGGCCTAAATAAGGCATTTTTCACATTTTGAGACAACAAAAGGGAGGGGGGGGTGAAACAGGCGTTAAAAGTCATGCATATTGTGTAATGGGTTATTAACCCATTGATTTTGTTTTCAGTCCATATACGGGTCATTCAATTAATGTTATTTATCATTTCATTGATATTTCAATATTGCAATGAACGTGGTCCATTAAACATAAATCAACACTATTTTATGTAGGAACAAATTAATGACAACACATCAATGCCGAAGTTACGGACAATGCTAGATACAAAGAAGAAGAAACAAACGACAAGTCATGTTATCATTCAATTCTTTCTCTGGCGGAAATAATGAAATGTCCGACAAAATTGCATATGTTATAGGATTGCTGTTGCATTGATTTTAAGTTTTGTTATTAATAGTTTTCAATTTCAGACTTAATATGCTTTATTAAAAAGGCATAAAGTTCCTGATCAATTGATTTTTCTTTTCAACTATTATGCGTGGAACTTCACTGTGTACAGATTCGATGAGGCGGTCTTAACTGAAACGTTATGGATTAGATTTGATAAAAGACACGCACGATTTAGTTAGAGCTAGCAGTCATTCAACGAAAATCCAAATATACTATTTAGAATGTAATTGATGAAAAACAATATTTCAAAGAAAGTTGTTTCGATTATTTGAGCATGATACATAATCATCAAATAATAAAAATATTATAGAACATCAAGTGGCAAGAATCATTTAAATTATACATGTAGATATTCTTTATGATACTATTGAGTAATTTAATCGCTTGTTAACATCAAACTGCAACGCAATAAAATGAAATCAATAAGCACCAAAAGCAGCATCTGTGACAGTATTTTGTTTAAATATCAGTTCATTATTTCGTTCAATGACTACTAGTTATACTGCTAAACACTTTTCCCGTCAGACATGTTTACATAGTGTGGTTAGTTTGGTTATAAATTGTGCAGGTTATCTCGGAACGGATGTTCCGCAACACTTGACATACCATATA